TAATTTATTGTTTCTAACCCTATAGTATAAGATTGCTATAGCCCGTATTGTTAATAAGTAAGCGTAGGATAAGCGGCTTACCGGACTCCGCGACGGCTTAAAGCATATTAATGCTCTTACTATATTAATAGTGCGTATTAAGGACACAGACAGGAGAAGTTATAATAACTCCCTAGTCGACATCGCTATATATAGTAATAGCGATAGCACTACTATAGTTAATCCGGCTGCTAGTGCTATTAGATGCATATAATACGTACCTTGTTTAATAGCGAGGGTGCTATTAAATAACCTTGCAAATAGGGATAGTTAATCGTTTATAGATAAGCTATTACGGGCTTAGCAGAGGGACGCCTTTGCTGCTAAACGTATAGACAAGCTTGTAAGTAGGCGAAAGACCCGATCTAGTAAGAGTAATAATTAGTCGATCGATAACAAAGGTTATTTAAAGTTCAAGGGCAGATACTATATCCCCGCTAAACATTCGATCCGATAAGAGCTTCTTAAGCGACACTATAATAGTAAGCTTGCCGGTTACTATAGTATAGAGAGGTCGCACGAGCTACTATCGCGTACATACTACTAGCTAAATAGTAAGCGGGATATAAAGGACTACGTAAATACGTATGCCGTGTGTTAACGAGTTAAAGCACTAAAGCACTTACTATTTGGCGAGTTGTCTTTACTCCCTGTTCTAAAGAAGCTATTTGCTAAGCTTATAATAGATTTTATTACAGGCCTTCCGCCTACTAAGCGTAGAGGAAGCAAGGATATATATAATACTATCCTAGTTGTCGTAGACCGGTTTACTAAGGGCGCTCGTTATATTCCTACCCGAAAGGATTAGACGGCTATTAACCTAGCTAAGGCGCTATAGACTAACATCTTCTATACCTATTAAGGAACCCCCGAGGGGATAGTCTCCGATAGGGGCTCGATATTCATATCGCACTATTAGAGCGAAATATGCCTACAGCTAAGACTAAAGCATCGGCTATTAATAGCCTTCTATCTATAGACTAACGGTTAAACAGAGAGACAGAATGCTACCCTATAGCAGTACCTACGCAGTTATATTAACGAGAACCCTAAGGATTAGGTCAATCTCCTATAACTAGCCGAATTCGTGTATAACAACAGTGTCTACTTATCTACTAAGGTGTTACCTTATTTCGCTATAATAGGAAGCAACCCTACGCTGCTATAAGACCCCCTATCGCTCGAGGCCGAGCGTAAGGAAAGGGAAGCGGGTTAACCTAAGACACTAGCGGCTATTAAGAGGGTTTAGAAGATGCGAGAAATCTATACTAAGATAGCCGAGAAGTTAACAAAGGCTTAAGAGTACTAAAAGACCTACTATAACAAACACTACCTTCTAATAACCTTTAAACAAGGCGATATGGTTATGCTTAGTACAAAGAACCTCCGCATCCGCAAACACCTATTACCCGATAGCAAAACAAGGCCTAAGCTCGTACTAAGATACATTGGCCCATTCCGCATTCGAGAACCGAAGGGTATACAGGCCTACTAGTTATAGCTTCCACCCTATTATACTATCTATAATACCTTCTATATATCCCTTCTTAAGCTATACTATTAACGCGAAGGCGATAAAGCGCCTACTAAGTTAGAAGAAGTCTTGGCTGATAGTAAAGAACTGTAGTCTATAGAACGCATCCTGCAGCACCGGACTAGGAAAGGCAAGAAGGAATACCTCCTAAGGTAGCAAGGCTATTTACCTAAATAGGACTCGTAGGAAGCTAAAGGATCCTTTAAGGACATAACCGAGTTGTTAGATAAGTATTGGACTAGCGTAAAGAACAAGAAGAAGGCTAAAAGCTTATAATATTACTATTAAGGCCTAGAACAATGCTACCCCCGGGGTGCTATTAGCTAACTAATTAGAGGCAAGCAATTGTTAGCAACAAAGGATAATAAGACTATATAAGGCGCGCTACGACGCGTTAATTAATTAATCGCATGCTCTTTTAAGGGCTCTACCTCTTTACTAACGCGCCCTATAGGTCCCCCTCTTGTTCCCTTATTCTAACGAGGCCTCGAGGCCTAAGCGATCGGCGAAGGCGCGCGCGTAGCGGATAGTGCTGGCGGTGTGTTAGAAGAAACGGCACACGCCTATGTTAGTAACGGTATTGCGGAGTATATTACTATTTAAGAAAGGAAGGATACGGCTATATTAGTAACGGTGTTGCCG